ACAGGGTTTCACCATGTTGGCCAGGCTGATCTCGAACTCCTGACCTCAAGTGATCCACCCGCCTTGGCCTCCCAAAGTGCTGGGATTACAGATGTGAGCCACCATGCCTGGCTTTTTTTTTTTTTGACATGGAGTCTTGCCCTGTCACCCAGGCTGGAGTGCAGTGGTGTGATCTCAGCTCACTGCAACCTCCACCTCCCGGGTTCAAGTGATCCTCCTGCATCAGCCTCCTGAGTAGCTGATATTACAGGCATGTGCCACCACACCAGGGTAATTTTTTGTATCTTTAGTAGAGACAGGGTTTCACCATGTTGCTCAAGCTGGTCTCAAACTCCTGACCTCGTGATCTGCCTATCTCGGGCTCCCAAAGTGCTGGGTTTACAGGCATAAGCCACCACACCTGGCCCTGTTTTAGGTGATTTAAAAGTTCTGGAGGCTGGGTTCCTCAATCCCAGCACTTTCGGAGGCCAAAGCAAGCAGATTGCTTGAGGTCGGAAGTTCAAAACCAGCCTGATCAACATGGAAACCCTGTCTCTACTAAAACTAAAAATATTAGCTAGGTGTGGTGGCAGGAGCTTGTAATCCCAGCTAGCTGGGAGATTGAGGTGGGAGGATCATTTGAGCCTGGCAGGCAGAGGTTGCAGTGAGCTGAGATTGCACCACTGCATTCCAGCAGGGAGTTCTGGAAATACATAGTGGTCATGTTTACACAACACTGTGAATGTCTTTAATGCTCTTAAATTGTACACGTAAATAAAAATGGGCCAGGCATGATGGCTCATGCTTGTAATTTCAATGCTTTTTAATGCTGAGGTGGGAGGATCACTTGAGGCCAGGAGTTTCAGACCAGTCTAGGCAGCATAGAGAGACCCTGTTTGTACAAAAAATTAAAAAATTAGCCAAGTGTGATGGCACATCCTTGTAGTCCCAGCTACTCAGGAGGCTGAGGTGGGAGGACTGCTTGAGGCCCAGAGTTCAAGGCTGCAGTGAGCTGTAGATTGCACCACTGCAGTTCAGCTTGGGTGACACAGCGAGACTTTGTCTCTAAATAAATAAATAGTAGAAATGGAAATTTCATATTAAGTGTATTTTCTCACACACACACACACACAGCAAACCCAAGGCCCAGGGAAGCCCTCTTTAGCAGAGAGCTGAGACGAAGAAAAGGGTTCTGAACCACAGCCGTCTGCTGAAGGAAGCTGTCCAGATGCCAGTGCAGTCTCTCCTACGGGTGCCTGGGCCTTGCGTCAGGAGGGGAGGTCGAGGGTCGCCTTAGGTGTGGGAAGGAGCTCTAGGGAGAGTGGTGCTGATGCTTCCCCTTGGGTTAGGAGGCATTTGGATCACACAGCGATGCCTGCACATTCCCGGTTGCAAGAGAGTAGATCTCTGGACACCCGATAGGCCTCCGTTCTGGCAGCTGTCCATGGCCAGGAGCGCTGGGCTTGTTCCTCCCCATGGGAACCATCACACAGGCCTCAGGCAGTCTGCATAGATGACAGCCTGGCAGGTGACCAGGCTGGGATGAGTGAGCAGATGTGGGTAGCACTTGCGGTCCCCCTAGCTGTGCCTTCAGCACCTGCTGCCTAGGAGGCAGAAGCCTTGTTCTCCACCTTGCAGGTGACCCCAGTGTCTCTGAATCTAGCCGCGTATGTGTAGGAGTCAGGTGATTGCATCTGAGGATGGGAGTCGGGTTGGGGGTTTGGGAAACATCCATGATCCTTCAAGGGCCCATTGACCTGCCCAGTACATGCCAGGTGGGCCTTGGCATTGGAGGCCACAGCTCAACTCTGCGGTTCCTGCTGGGCAACATTTCCAGGGACTCATAGATCAGCAAGGTCATCAAGGAGGGGTGGTGAGAGCAGCTCCTCATTGTCATGGTGACCCTGATGTTTAATTTTCTGATGTCTCTGTGGTGAGCTCCTGTTGTGTCAAATGAATAGTGGCCACCGAGAACCAACCGCCCTGGAAATGCACTCAGAATAGATACAGGACGAGTGGGGTTTGTGAGGACTGTTTTCTGTGGCTTAGCAAGGAAAGCCTGGAGAGGAAGGTAAAACTGCTGCTTCCCAGGGAAGCCAGAGGCCCGAGAAGTTAAAGGCAAAGGAGAACTTAATACATTTCAAAAATGTAACTCTGATGAATTGGCAACAGTTTTATAAACAAAGAGCTTTCTGAGCTGATAGAATCTGCTCTGATTCATTTCTGCCCCCACAAACTTTACCCTATTCTTATGAGTTATCTTGCAAACAGTCTCAAAGAACTAGAAGAATGATTAGGGCACTGAGTATCAGGAGATCTGGGGCCATATATCTTTAGCGGGCAGTGTTTACTAGCCAGGAAGTCTCAGACAATCACAATTATCCGGAAATGATTTAGGTAATTGGCGTTTTCCACCCCAGACAAGGCATTTTAGGGAATAAAGTCCCATATCTGCGGAGTTTGCGTCACGTATTCACTGTATTCATAGACTGCTTTACATACTTGGAGAGCAAAATACATCAGTCCTGCGTTGCTTGTATTAACATGCCTTTGTTTGCTTCACTGGAGATGAAATTCTACTGCAAGTCACATCCCAGGTTCCGTATGACCCATCATTTAAAGAAACAATAGCAGTCAGATCCATTACAAAGAGAGACATGAGAAAAGGTAAGTGTATGTCATTAACGCAATAAATGCACACATGTCTATAGGCCTATGTGTTGTCTTAAATGTGCTGTACTATCATCCTGACAGTCTTTAACCCAACTACTGGTGGGGCAAAACCAACTGAGATATGAAGGAAACAACTGGCTGAAATCCTCTCTATAACCTTCCACCTGCTATGGAATCCATGGTCCAAAGTGTGAATCTCCATGTATTTTGGGGTGATCCTTGATGTGCAGTGTTAGGCAGGTTCTGCCACCCTGGAGGCATTCAGAGGACAGAAACCTGACCTGCAAGTAGTGTCCCCCATTCCCGACAACAAGAGCACCTAGCAGCATCATAACTCCACCCAACACACGAATCCTTCTAAGTGTACAGTGTGGTTTGAGGGTTAGTGCAGTCATTAATACCCCATCCAGTGGATGATAAAAACAAGACCAAAAAATGACTTACCTTTGGCGCACCCATAGAAACGACAGATGTGAAGAACACACTCTTTCTCCCAAAGCGGCTTCATATTATGGGAAAAATTTAGCACTTTGGGAATTAAGATAGGAATTTGCTCACAGTAATGAGGATAAAATTAGGTATTGGAAATCTGCCAGATGTGCATGCAAGTGCCCCGAGCAGGGAGGGGGAGTGGACACTGTGTTGGTATTCTGCAGACAGATGTTTGCACCCCAATTCCTGAGGGTAGTTTCCCTGAGGGTAGCCCAGGACAGCTGCCTGGGCACCTCTGCAATCGGCAGTGAGGTGGCACTGCTCTCTACATTGAGGCATTCACTTTCAGACACGCATTTGCTCATACAAGTTGAGTCCTTTATTAGCATTTCAACTTAAAAATGGAAAAGAAGACTGGGAGCAGTGACTGTAATCATGCCCGTAATCCCAGCACTCCGCCTCAGAAGGGTAAGGCAGGTGGATCACCTGAGGTCAGGAGTTCAAGACCAGCCTGGCTAACATGGTGAAACCCTATCTCTACTAAAAATACAAAAATCAGCTGGGCATGGTGGTTTGTGCCTGCAGTTCCAGCTACTCAGGAGGCTGAGACATGAGAATCACTTGAACCTGGGAGGCGGCGATGCGGTGAGCCCAGATTTGGCCACTGTACTCTAGCCTGGGTGACAGAGTGAGACTCCATCTCGAAAACAAAACAAAACAAAACAAAAGAATGGGAAACAAAATATGGGCCCAAGGTGCTTGCATATGTATACTGACAAAGACCCATTTTCTCATTTCTTTTTCATGTGTTTTATCAAAGGAACCAGTGCTACTTGGAATTCTCCTAAACCAGAATATTTCCTTGGCAGTATGGACAAAATTCCCAATAAAGGTAAATGCAAATGCATAAAATTGGAATTGGGGGTCAAGCACCCTGAATTAGGAAGAGTTCCCCAATCACTGGTAAGGTTTAGGATACCCATGGTTTCCCCAAATCCCACCCTGTGTGAGTCTGCTTCTGTATAGCATGAAGGAGCAGAGTAGAATGTTTGTTATCTGCAGGCAGATGGATGCCGGCCAGGAGGGAGAGAGAGCTTGCCTTAGACACCCGGCACCTCCTCCCAAACTGACCTGGGCAGGCCCTTTCCCCGCTGGGGTGGTGGAGCTGGGCAGGGGCTGAGCACATTTCTGAGGGGCTGCCCCAGTGGAATTCTTCCCTCCTCCTCAGGTTTTGGGAAAGCACTCCCTCCAGCCAGGAGCAGAGGCTCATTTGAGCGATCTGATCATGCTGGAGGCAGATTGGCTCCGAAGACAGGATGAGCAGCTAGAATCCATGAAGCATTTCTCTCCATGAAAGACTTAAAGATTTAAAAGAAAAAACCCAGGCCAAATAGGTCCCTGTCTGAGCTGGTAAATCTGTGGTCTTTCCTGGGTGCAGGATTATGAACCTGGCCGCTGGTTCCCAGGACACACAGTGCATCAGCCAGGGGTCAGGGATGGGGAATGGGAAGAGCTTATTAAAAATCCTTATTCCCAGGCCTTCCCATTAGTCTCTGAAAATGAGCCCAGCAATCTGCACATTTTTACCCATCCCTCTAGTGACTTTTCTATAGTCAGCCACGTACTAGCCCCTGACACATGGAATCACTGACTTAGATGATATTTGCAATTAATTTACCACAGAATACTCTTTGAAATGAATACCGCTAATATCCCTGAATTCATCCTCCATGTTTCCTTCTGTAAACTGCATGATGATCATAAATATACTTGGCCAGCTCTTTGGTACCTGAGTCTACACTGCAGGAGGTGAGGGAATGGTTTTACACGGATTACCATCGTGGGCTGTAATGGTCTCATCTGCATGATCAGTCTGCGTCCCTCCATTTTCCTGTGACATGGCTACCTGTTGTCCCAACACCGGTGATTTATGAAAAAGTCCATCTTTGCTTCAGTGACCTGAGATGCCTCCTTTCTCATTTACTAAATTCCTGTATGTACTGTGTGTATGCCTGGGCTTTCTTTCTTTCTTTCTTTTTTTTTTTTTTTTTTTAGATGGAGTCTCACTTTTTCTGCCGAGGTTGGAGTGCAGTTGTGTGATCTTGGTTCACTGCAACCTCCACCTCCTGGGTTCAAGCGACTCTCTTGCCTCAGCCTCCTGAGTACTTGGGATTTCAGGCTCACACTACCACGCCAGGCTAATTTTTGTACTTTAGTAGAAACAGGCTTTCACCATTTTGGCCAGGCTGGTCTGGAACTCCTGATATCAAAAGATCTGCTCACTTCGGCCTCCCAAAGTGCTGGTATTACAAGTTTGAGCCACCACGCCCAGCCTATGCCTGGGCTTTCTACTGTAACCCACTGCTCTGTTCCTCTCTGTATTCAACAGTGTACCACGTTGTTTTAATTAGAGGTTGAAATAGTATTTTTTTTTTTTTTGAGACAGGGTCTTGCTCTGTTGCCCAGGGTGGAGTGCAGTGGTACGATCTTGGCTCATTGCCACCTCTCCTCCCAGGTTCAAGCAACTCTCCTGCCTCAGCTTCTGGAGTAGCTGGGATTACAGGTGGCTGCACCTTGCCCAGCTAACTTTTGTATTTTTAGTAGAGATGGGGTTTCACCATGTTGGCCAGGCTAGTCTCAAACTCCTGACCTCAAGTGATCCACCCACTTCGGCCTCGCAAAGTGCTGGGATTACAGGCGTGAGTCACAGCAGATAATAGTGTTTTAATGTCTTGCAGGACTGGTTCCCCTTTTGCAGTTTTTGTTTTTTCATTGTCTTCCTGGCTATTTTTGCATGTTTGTTTTTCCATATGAACTTTAGCATCAACTTGTCTAACGTCATTAAAAGGCTGTTGGTATTCTGATTGGCACTGCATCAAATTTATAATACAATATTCACTTTGGGAAAACAGATGTTAGGTCATCCTGTGCTAGAAATGGGAATACATTTCCAGTTCTTCAAGTTCATTTTCAATGTGTGTAAAGTTTTCCGTATATAGATTTTTACATGGATCTTCTTAAGTTTATTCCCAAGTCATCGAATTTTCTGTGTTGCTATTGTAAGAGAGGGGTTTTCTCTATCATTATATCCCCTACCTATTATTGTTTGGGAATAGGGAAGCTTGATTTTTGTACATTAATTTTATGTCCTCTTGCCTCATTCAATTCTACACATACTGTTATGTCATCTGTAAATAGAGATAGTTCTACTTCTTTACCAGTTGTTACGCCTCTACCTGATTTATTTATCATGTTTAACTGCATTGCTAATACCTCTAGGATAATCTTGAGTGGTTGCTGGAGATAGAGTGGGCATCCTGTTTTGTACTTGATCTTGGAGAAAACGCCTCTAGAGGTTCCTGATTAAGATTCTGGTTATAGGACTAATATGAATAAGAGATTATCAATTTGTATATCTGTCCATCTATATACATACATGTAAATATATTGTACATGTAAATATATATACATACATAGATTTGTACTGAGAATGAGAATGTATCTGTCCAGAAAACACTTTTGGGTATTTTTTTCTGTTTCTATGAGTTGAATTACTTTAGATATCTTATGTAAGTTGAATCATGCTGTATTTGTCTTTTTGTGATTGGTTTAGTTCACATAGTATGGTGTCCTCAAAGTTAATCTATGGTGTAGAATATGACAGAATTTCCTTTCTTTCTTTCTTTTTTTGAGATTGAGTTTTACTTTTTTTGCCCCGGCAGAAGTGCAATGCCACAATCTTGGCTCACTGCAACCCTCGCCTCCCGGGTTCAAGCAATTCTCCTGTCTCAGCCTCCCGAGTAGCTTGGATTACAGGCATGTGCCACCACGCCTGGCTAATTTTGTATTGTTATTAGAGACAGGGTTTCTCCTTGTTGGTCAGGCTGGTCTTGAACTCCCAATCTCAGGTGATCTGCCCACCTCGGCCTCCCAAAGTGCGGGGATTACAGGCATGAGCTGCTGCACCCAGCCTTCCTTTCTTTTTAAGGCTGAATACTATTCTATTGTATGTATATACCGTATTTTCTTTATCCATTTATCTGTTGTTGCACACTTGGGTCGCTCTCATGTCTTGGCTATTGTACATAATGCTGCAGTGAATCTGGGTGTGCAAATATCTCCAAGATCCTGGTTTCAATTCTTTAGGATATGTATTCAGAAGTGGGATGTGGCTCATATGGGAAATCTATTTTCAGTTTTTGGAGGAGCCTCCATCTTGCTTCTGTAGCAGCTACACTGTGTTACAATCCCACCAGTGTGTGCAGGCTTCCCGTTTCTTTACATCCTTACCAACACTTGTTATTACATATGTGCTTGAGTATTTAAAACATCTGGAATGGGTATTGAATTTTGTTCAAGGTCCTTTCAGCATCCATGGAACTAATCATATGATTTGTTTCCTTAAGTCTAATAACAGTGTATATATGATAATAATGAATTTCCTCATGGCAAACCATCCTGCATTTTTAGAATGAATTTTACTTGGTCATACTGGGGCTTGGAGAGTCCAGTCACTGCTCAGGAGTCTTGGGCCTGGGCCCAGCTTTTTTCAGCACATCTGT